GAGAGATGACATTCAACCATGCAGACAGTCAACATCCTAATTTTCCTTTTTCAGAATGAGACGGATTAGGACTGAAATGAAGACTCCTCTTACCCAAGTGCGATGCTGGGGTGAGGAAGTTTCCAGGATGATGTGGCGGATGGCCAAAAGGACCTGCTGATGGGTGTGTAGGACCTGAGGAGGGACAGACAAAAGGCATCAGCCACTGACTGTGAGCATGTATGTTTATTCTTCACCTTGCAAAAAAGGCGAAATTCAAGATCTACTTACTATCTTTTCCTGGAGCCATCAGCTCGAATGTGATCAGTAAATAATATGGACCAGTGTTATCCCATTACAGATGCATCATAATCATACCGAATAGATATTGTCCATTTAAAGAGCATTAACAAATGTTGTACCTTTTAATCTGTAAAATGTCCCAGTCGTATCTTTGTCAAAATTGGTAAAAAAAAAAAAAAAAAGGACATTAAGGGGCCCATATCAAAAATTATTGCTCTGTATATGTTGTGTGCAAAATAGAAATATCTGATATCCGCAAAATATTGAACTTCAGCAGTAAAAAGATGAATCAGAGCAACAGAAAAATGACTGAATTGGTTGCACCTAAACACTCATGAAACACTAAATGACAGGAGCAAATAACTGCTTTAGTGATGTCATGACTAATTGATTAATCAGCTTAAATTGAGTTGATTATTCAACCTCAAAAAATGATTCCTCTTCCTCATCTGGGGAAAATCACAAGATGTGGTTAAAAGCTGAAGGACCAAATAAACAGCCCTTAAATAAATCACTAATATTCAGTAGCTTCACTCTTTTTCCAAACTAAGTGTTGTGGTATAACCAACAGGAGACCAGTGAGGTGAGAAGTGATTTTGGTGACACTAGACTATAGATAGTCCCTGCCCACTTGTCTTGTTCATTGCTGTGGGTGTGTCTGAATGAAGCCCTGAGGAAAGTGATGATTTCAGTTCCCTATGTCTGAATGACAGCCATCACTTTAACAGACAGACAGATGAAGCAGCAACATGCTGCAGTGCCATCTCAGCCGAGAACAGAGATGTAAGCATTCAGCCCTCACGAATATTCGCAGATGATTACTACCAAAGCTCCAGATCCCAAAAAGTGGCATTCAGGACAGCCCTAGGAGGAAGTTTGAATCATTGTTCGTGCACATATTCAGAAATTAGTTGACTAAAGTGAGATGCACTACACTGATCTTCACACTGATTGGTATTATTTCCATATAGTAGATAAATTCTTTTGGTTTTAATGTCTTTGCTTGTTCACATCTGAACCCAGAAACAATCATGTGAACAATAACGACTCACTCTGATCAGCAGATTTGCTGCAGGTGTATGTCAGGGGCTACTGTTAACACATACTGATACATACTGACCTGCAGCAGAGAAGAGCGTGGCAGGCCGTGCCAAGTCGCTGGGGTGATGGATGGCACCGAAGAGGCTGGGGCCCGGAGGTCGACTCAAGAACTCAGGCTTGAGGCCAAAGTCTAGCTTGTGAGGGTCAACCTGCATCTGCTGCTGGAAGACGCCAGAGCGACAGAGAGAAATGTGTGTAAAACCCCTTTATACACACATTTTATAGATTATGGTAAGTAAATTACTGCAAGTGACTTCTGTAAGTGTTGTTTATCTTGCTCGTAGGCACCTTGGAAGTCAGGAGTCAAACCCGAGACCCTCCAGGGACAAGAGTGCCCCTGAATGCCAGGTTACACTCATTACAAAGCTGTCTCCCTTTTATAACTTCAAAGACTGGTTATGGCTGAAGAAGCCGTACAACTTAAACCACTTGTCATTTTAATGGTTTGAAGAGTATTTTGTAAATGTAGTCAGTGCAACAGCAGAATGACTTTTCACAAATGTCCAATCCCAATCACGAGTACAGAGGTTCACTTCTGTCTTCACAATATACTTTTGACTAGAGAACCACCAATTCAGAGACGTGCTGATAAAAGTCAGAAATGATGACTCTTTGAAGTAGTTAGTTATTCAAGACAGCAATTTTCTCCTGAAGATTTTTCCAGTTGAACAACTACACTGTGTCCAATGTCCATACCTCACATCAATTCTGAGCAGGTTTTTAGCGTCTACTGTGTTCACACTGGAAAATTGACAAACTGCACTGAAAACAGTGAGTGTGCAAACTAAAAAAACACTGAGTGTGCTGTTGCTGGACACTGTTCTCCCAAATGGGGGCAGATCAGCTCCTCAGAAATGACTAGTCAATGTTTGGAATAACATTTCACTCTTTTAGAGAAGTGTAACTGTCTTGTACTTCTAAAGGTTTGATTGTCTTTGCATGGTTACACATTACATAAAAACTATGTTCACTACTTGTATACTAGTTTAGAGATAGGTGTACTCTGTGATAGTTAGTATGTGAACTAAATTGGAACCCAGCTTCCATTAGCTAGTGTTAATACTAGATGTGCTGAGCGAAGAGTCACTCACCTTTACTTTCTGCTGGTGGTGGTATATCTGCCAGGCGATATGGACATGCATGGCACACCACTTCCCTGGTTTCTGCAAACACCAGACAAAAACATTACTCTTCATTGACTTCATGTCCCAGATGCAAGTTAAAATAATAGTTTGCAATTTACACGTTCAAAGATAACTGTGTGGTGAAGTGAGCAGTATTTCACTTCACTAAATCATTACTTTAAAAGCTTTTGTCTGAAAGCTCCGATGTGCCTGCTGTTCAGTGTATTTTACACACACAGTTCTACTGCCGTATTGTCAATGAACATTATTATTTCTTAATTCTCCCATGATCGATAAACTTTGTCATCATACAATGATTTTGAATGGCCAGATGACATGAACACATCCTACCCTTCCCATTTATTTACAGCTAAGTTATCTGAAAAGGTAGTAACACCTTTTTTCTCAGTTGCTTTAGTACGTTTCTCATATCAGAAATTGAATTCTCTAATCTATTTGTTCAACCTCCATATCATCCACTCACTTGTGCACAGCATACTGTATAAACAATTTCACACTGTTTTGAACAAAGTGAAAATGCATTGAAAATAATTATGTACAACTTTCTGCTGTTTCCTGTATTATCAGTTTCTTATGTCTTGTTAATCAGGATATATTACACAGGGTCTCTGTTGAATAGTCCAACCTCCCAAAACTCACTACATCTTAGATGAAGGTGGAGTGAAGTGAGGAAAGATAAAGTGAACTGGTATCTTCCAGCTTCTGATTGACCGATCACACCTGATCCAGGTAATCAGCAGTGAGTAGGGTCCAGAGAGTTGGTAAACAAGCAGGGCGGTGGCACTTGAGGAATGGGATTGCCTACCCCTGTTGCCTACCCAATGACACAAGGACTTGTCATTCTGAATTTTGAGCAATTGAAGGGCTTTTGCTGATTTTTTTCCATTGTGTGGTGCTGTTTGTATGACCCGTTTTAAAAAATGCTCTTACTGTTTTTAGCAAATGTTAAGGATGATTCAAGAACTGTATCAAAGTGTTGCAACCCAGCTCATTGGGGAAAAGGTAAGTAACAGATGGAAACGGTTAAGTGAAGTTTAAATAGTATTAAAAAATGATTGGGGTGCTTTTTTTCAAATAATAAATGGCCACAAAAGGGCCCAAATAAATCTATCAAAGATAATGAAACAAAACCACGAATGAAGAAAATATGAAACGAGCATCTCATAAATTCCTGAGTACAATGTACATGGATGAGTAATCACTGAAAGTGAATCCAGAAAGCAGAGTACAAAGTACTAGTAAACAAGTAGACACTAAAAACTATTGTATACGCAAACATTTCTGAGCATGTTTTCACATTGCCTTTACAGTTCATGGAGTGTAGACTTAAGGAGCATTTAAAATTAAAATAACGACACAAAGTGCAAAGAGGAAAATGGAATAAATACTTTGAGGCCAGTACATCAGTTGAGGATTTGGTCTATGATAGTGATGGTGTTATAGCAAGTGAGAAGTGTACAGCAATTATAGCTGGTGGTTTGAATCATCTTGTTTGAAGGTGGACAAACTATCACGTGATGTATATTTAAAGTTAAATTGCACTTCCACATGCAGATGCTGCACTATTCTCCAAAATAAGCCCTGCTGTGGCAAAGCTAGCACACTCCGCTTCCACGTTCACCACTCATTTAATTAAAGACACTATCCATTAGTAAAAACCCTTGAAGGCATCCATTATTGTATTGCTGTTATGTGCGTGTGCGTGCGTGAGAAGGTGCAGAGAGTAAGCACTCACCCTGAGAATGGGCCGAAATGGATCTGTTAGCTACAATGAGAGAGAGGGAGGAAACAAGGCCAAGTTAGTTCAGTTATGCATCAGAATGGTTCTCATTTTTTCAATTTTGTCTCTAAACTACATTTAAATGTTAAAACTTTCCTTTAAAATGAAGCATAACACATGTGGTAAACCCAAATAACAGGCAGGAACACAAGCAGACAGGCTATGTTGTCTACAAACTAACTGCATATAAATCCTTTACAGTGACTTAATTCAGTGTTAAAAACCATCTGATGACTCAAAGGCTTATGTAACATACAGACTCTTTAAAGCCTCTGAGAGGGTATAAGGGTGACCTCTGCACCCTTATACTCTTTGCAACAGTGTTGTGCGTATGTGCTCCTACCCTGGGGTCCTTCTGTAAGAATGTGTGTGGGACGGCTCCAGGTCGTGTGGACACATCCAGAGGATTAGAGGTCTAGACAGCACCAGACAGAGTAGAACAATATTCTCTGTAAATAAGTCATTTTGTGTGTTTCTAACTGTGTGAATGGGGGCGTGTGGTGGTGTCCATGTGTGTCTTACTTTGGGCTGAAAGGCACCCTGCAGCGAGCCGAAGGGCCCAGTTGGAGGGATGACAGGGGGAAGGCCAGACATGGCCGGCGGGTAGGAGTGGAAGAGCTGAGGAAGAAGAGAGAGAGGTTTAAGGATGTTCAGTCAGTGAGGTACAAGACAACAGCTGCATTAGGCAGAGATGGAACAAACAGGATGTGGTGACGGATGAATCTCAACATTCAACGAGAATTTTCCAAGACTGCTTTACACGGAAAGTTACAGATGACGGCCTCTATGTTTCACAAGATGCAGAGTTTATAAAATATTGCCAGTGTGTTAAAGTAAGACTAAACACTCCTTTGATAGGAAATCTCACATGTGATACAAGCAAAAATCATGTAAACCAAACAAGTGCTCAAGGCCTCCATCAATTACCCCGTCAGTCACATTAGCCTTAGTGGAAATAGAGACTTTTCATGTTTCTGAACTTGCTAGTGCAATAGAATTATTTAAGCTTGGGTTGCCAGAATGAGTTACTAGAAGTGCTTAAGAATATGCTGGAAGGATTTATATGCAAGTTGTTCCCCTGTGCGTCACGTTTTAAGACGTCACCATGTTACATAGAGAGGAAAAGGCTTTGGGGTATTTGCTGTTCCTACAAAAAGAACAAGAAATGAAGCGCTTTTCAAACAGACTAGCAAACCGCTGCAAAATCACATGACTTTATACATATTAAAATCACTCTTATCTCTAAAGGACAGGTAATAAGAAACTGTGTTGGCACCCTTGGCTGTGTGGAAGTTTCAGCAAACACAGTAGAAAGAACCAACATTTAAAGCAAGTCCCCTTAGTGAGCACGCCACTGCTGTTAGTAGAAAAATATAAATGAAGAGCAGGAAACACGACAAAAATATAGTATTCCTCTGGCAATAGTGAAGTCTTCTCTGTAAACCACCACTGTCTCTTTCTGTATTAATTTCTATGCAATTTCACCGTTACATGCACACCCAATAAATCTTGTGCTCCAAGGCCTGAGCATCCAGCATTGGTTTCATTAATCACAACATTTACTGGGGCTGAAGGGTGAAATGGTACAGCTAAGCTGCTTACATTAGGAAGTGGAAGAACTATTGCATGGAATCTACTACTTGCCTACACACACCCCCACACACACCCACACAGAGTGCTATAACACAGTCTCACATGGGCTGGAATGGCATAATGGGCAAGCAACAAACTGCTCTGCAGGGACATAGTACACAGCAGGAAACTCACACTGTGTCTGTAGAAGGGGTCTACTTTTGTTGGATACTTGTCAAACTGTAGGAGAAATGAAACAGAGCTAAGTACAGACATGGAGAGAAGACATGACACACATACTGTCACAGAGTTGAATGTGTCCTGTTTCAGGGTCATTTTAGGCCAGCACCAAATACATCACAATCTGAATCTGAGAACTATGAGCATGCTTACAGCCTGAGATTATGATTAAAGGTATAAGTTGTCAACTGAGAATTGAAGTCAGACCGGTTTCATCCTCCCCTTTTCATGATCATCTGCAGGCCTTATAAACCAGTGCAGTCGCTCTCTCGTTTTAGTGGTGCAGCACAGACTCAGGGCGAATGTTTCCCCAGTCAAGACTAAACGCTGCAGCTATAAAGAAGCTTTTTATGGCCTCATTAGCTGTTGGAGGCCTCGCTGTGCTGCCTTTGAGGTATCATCAGAGCCAACTGAACTCTCCGTGTGCCAGGCAGTTACAAATATATGTGTGTGTGTATTTTAGGTCCAGTCTGTGGTTTCCCCCAACAAAAGCATCAGGGCTCTTATAATTGCATTTGCAATTAATGAAAAGCCCCAAACGGGACCAAATGATGTCATTAAATTCAGAATGCATTAAGTGTATTATGTACTGAAAGCAGGTTCTGAAGTTAGCATGCTCCGGGCAAGTTATTTCTAATAATTACTATAGAGTGCTAGAACATACCAGAGAAAACACCAGAAAGTCTTTCTGGGAGAATCAAAGCATAACTGTGGCATGGACAGACACACAATCGTCACCGAAAGGCCACCATAAAAACTAACAGGTCCCTATAACATACACGTCAAACTGTGTTCATTCTCAAAAGTCATTATTAGAAGACCCCTTCCACCCTCTCCGACCCAACACAGTTGCGTTCTACTTATCCTCACATTTCTGGCAGGGGTACGCACCATGGGCGGTGCTGGGGTGGGCATGATGGCGTGGGGGAAGGGCGTGAAGGTATGCTGGTGGGTGTGCTGGTGGGTATGTTGGTGCTGATGCTGGTGTTGATGCTGGTGTTGGTGGAACTCAGTGCGCAGGTAGGGCGGGGGGCCCAGCGAGGCGCCGCGGTCGGCGCTCTGGGAGGCCAGGAAACGGGTGTTGAGCTCCTGGCGTAGAAGGTCTTGCTCTGAGAAGAGTGAGAGTTTGTTAATGAGGGGAGGGGGAATGTGAAAGGTACCTTTACAGCATTTTGGCACAACAGACTCCAAACAGATACATTAACAGCCTCAGACTGTACTGTTTTCTCACAGACCTCCATATGATTTAGTAGATTTTTGTGTGATTGCAGCACATAACTTGTTCTTTTAACTTTTTATTAATTATTATTTTTATGCTTCTTCCATGGGACACTTCGACATCCCACATACTGGCAGCTAGAACCATGGTTCCCTTTCTGACATGTTTGCCTAATGTTTGCCTGTTAACGTAGCTTGTACTTATATCTGTATAATACATACTTTGTATAATTAATTAATTATTTGTTTTCTAATGAATATTGTTTTATTAGTAATCCATCAATATCACTATGCATGCTAAAATAGTCAAACATGGTACGCAGGTGCCCCATGTGGAAGTACTCAATATTTTGAAATGTTCTCAATAGCGCTGCCATGTGGCTCTAATCCTGTAACATTTCCACACTCTGCTACTCCCACATGCTTCCAGCTAAAAGGATGCTTCCACTTATAAATTGTTCAGCTAATTAAATATCCCAGCAACAGTGGCTGCAGTCATGCATTTTTATCAGGAAATGCACACACACTGATTAAATGTTACTTAGTGTGGTGTGTATGACAAAGTTCTGAAAGACAAAACTGTTACACTTATTTATCTAAGACACATTCTTGGTCATTTAATTATATGAAATTAAAGTGTTCTCATTCTGCCAGGTCCTGGAAGCCGCTCAATGACCCCAAGACTAATGTATGTCAGTCATCAAATAGAAAACAGTGTCAAAGTTATTACATAAGGAGAGAGAGAGACAGTCAGGAAATGACTGATTGCCAGTACCATCATTTTAAATTTAGCTAAAGCTCTGAGTGACTAGAACTGTGACTGCCTCAACTGATAAGCTACAGCCTCTCTGAGACAACAAAATACAGCATGTTGTCCTAATAACCTCTGCTCAGCCTGTTGAAAAACTGTGGATTTCATGTAATCACTGACTTTTTCCTAAATTCAAAATCTTACCCCTTGTATTCCTTAGTGACTCAATACAATATTTTCTGCATTCCTCTAAAGCTTTACTGAGCTGGGATGGAATTTTATCTTTATAAAAACATTCATTGGTACCTTCTGAAACAAAATCCATCTTGCTCTGGTCCATATAGCCCAAACATTCCTCACACTATTCCAATTCTAGGAACATTGAAGGTGAACCCCCCTTTTCGTCCCACACTGACCCTGACATTTAGCTCAGCAGAACTGGACAAGATGTGCCTGGGGTCTGTAATCACATATGCTCTCTGACTTGTGGATGGATATTACCGGTGTTTACAGAGTGTGAACTTGAACTGTGCACAGTGACTATGAACACAAAAAATTTCAGGCATGGAGTACGTGTGGATAATCTCGAATTCAACTGCTTGTTTCTTTAAATAATTACCAGAGTGACATTCTATCTGTCCATCTGTCTCCGTATCTCAAATGCTTTAAAATTATATGCTGCTTTGTACCTCTCACATGTCTTCACCATCCTGGCAACCTGATACAGCAACTGTCTAAAATAAGAGGCTGTTTTTTTTGTTTTGTTTTTTTTTGGTCAGCCTCATGCACATTCCTCTGCCACACCATACGGGGGCAACTCAAGCTGGCAGCTTGAGTTGTTTACCTGAGTAAGCACTCCCAGCAGCAGGATGTCCAGGTACTGGCAGGGTGCTAGACGTCAGTGGTGGTGGTGGAGGCAAGGCCGCTGGAGGAGCGAACATATTGGGGTGATGTGGGTGCGGCGAGGACTGCAAGGCAGGGGGGAAGCTGTGAGGGGTGTTCTGGTTAGCTGCCAGGGGCAGGGGGAAGGTGGAGGCTGTGGCTGCTGCAGGAGGAGGTGGGTGGTGGGGGAGGTGCAAGGGGGGAGCAGGGGGACCGTGGGGCTTGGTGCCTGGGGTGCTGCTCCTACTGCTGCTGTAAAGAGAGAGAGAAAGAAATGGAGAAATATTGAGAAAGTAGCCAAGTTAAACCAGCACGATCAGTCAAAATTAGCACTTGTTCCTCCACATCCCAACTCAGTGTTTACACACCTCAACTGTCCTCCATTTACAAACGCCTCCCTGCTTCTCTCATGCTTCACAGAATCCAGAGCAAACATGATCCGCGAAAGCACCACATTCGCAACACCCTCGAATGCAAATAAACCACTGCTGGCAGGCATAACAGAGCAAGCATCTGTCTTTGAACAGCTTCTGTTAAGGCACTTACTACAGAGCCAGGTAGTGAACATGTGCACTGGAAATGGGATGAGAGGAAGAGAGGATGTGTATGCAAACAGTCTTTTGTAGTGTGTGTGGGTTTTCCCCAGGGGCAGTCACACTGCCTGCGTCTCCACAACTCTACACACTAAGCCTAAAAGCTCATTTGCAGTGCTCGCTCTTCGCTGTGGGCCCCAGTTGTGATTATTCACAGTTGGTGCCAGGCCCTGTTGCTGCTGGCAGGGCTGGCACAGAGAGGCAAGGCAAAGTCCTGAGAGCCTACAAGGCAGAGCTGTTGTTGGGACTGAGTGGGTTCTGAAGGAGTGAGCCTGGAATCTTAAACTGGGGGAGGGAGCATCATATGCCTCAGTGCTTCTCAACAGATGTAGGACATAACAGCCTAAACTTGGCTGTACACAAGCACTAATGTTGTTATTTTGAGTTATATTAAAAATTACTGTAATGATGGTGTATGTGAAAATAACTAAGACATGGGAATTTCACAGCTCTCATCAATAAACTAACTATGGTACTGATTTAAGTTTGTACTAAACTACTGCACATAGTGTCAGTATAAATGATGGGGGTCTGGAATGTACACAGACACTGTTGGTGGCTAATAAATCACAGGCAGTCTGTGGCCTTTTTGTTCCATTGCTAATAATCAGTGCTGCTGTTTGGCTTCTAGCTCTCCATGATAAAAGAAAGTAGCATTTTCAAGTGTGCATGAATAGTGTGAATGACTAACTGTTTGTACTGCACCGCATGCAGTTTTCTGCATTAGAATACAAGAGGACACGCGAGATGTGAATATTTTGGTTTGACAGAAATTAACTTTACCTGTGACCGTTGAGGCTGAGGCTGTTGTAGGCAGAAAGAGGCCGGGGGTGGCAGTGCGACAGAGGCCCGTGGGGCCCTGGCTGACTTGGGTGTTGTTGGTGAGGGTGATTAGTTGGGAGGGCAGGGGATGGTGGATGTGGGTGAAGGCTGGGTGTGCGGGTGTCTGAGGCCTGGGGAGAGCCTCTGAACGTGTGGGTAGGTGGGTTGAGGATGGAGCCTGGGCAGGGCCGTTAGTCTGGGCCCAACGAGGGGACAGGGGCTGGGGAAGGGACAGCTGTGGCTGGGGCAGAGGGAGGGGTTGTGGGGGCAGAGGCTGATTGTGGGTGCTGGATGCAGGAGGCTGTGGGTCTCTGCAGCTCTCCTGGCTCCGCTCTTGGCTGCGCTCTAGGCCTGACACCTTGAGGAGGCCTGGGCCATGAGGCTCCTGGCTGCCATTGGTAGAGAGTACATCGATGCCAAAATCTGGAACTGTGGGAAACAAGTGACAAGTAACAGTGACAATTGTGAGTTTCCAAGTTGGCAGTCCAAATAAGCAAAATGTTAAAAACAATCAAAAAGCATTCATTCTTAATGATATATTGGTGAAAGCGAAAGCCATACAGTTTAGAAGGCTCGTGGCTGCCTGTCAAACATAAAGAGCTGAACATCTGTGCTTGTTTTGTGTATACATGTATACGCATAATGCCCCCCTTTCCTCAGGTAAATGAACACTCTAATAACACAGATGATGTGTGTGTGCTGAAGGCCTTTTGTAGCCTCGTGTCTTTCTAACTGCCATCTCTACTGCCAAGCTTAGGGTGTGCACTTTGAGCTGACACTTTGGTGCTGCACAAACTAACATATACCCCCCCCCCTCTTCAACCTTGTACTGACATGCCTGGCCAGGGTGTACAGCTGAGGTAATGCACCAGCTCCTAAGCCTCTTCACTCAGCATTCAGCTCTGTCGCTGGGGAGAGACTACACAACTGAAATGTGTTTTTCCTGTATTGACTCTATACATTAGTATCAAACACTAGGTTTGTTTAGGGATTCTTTTATTTTGTTCAACAAATTAAATGTATTCTGATCAGATTTGTTAATGAGGCAGCATATAAATGCAAACTGTAGCTGAATTGCAGGTTGGCTTGTGCATTTGCAGTGTCAGGCTGCTGTTGCCTTTCATCTCTTTCACTTTCTGCAAAGAAGTTACTTCACCCCCCCAAAACTGTACAGTAAATGATATTTATCTTTGGAAATACTGGTGTTTGTTCTTCACCACGTGCTAACTAGCTCCAGAGTGAGGACAGAGTGTATATTAAAGGACACCGCAGGATAACAACACAACATTCATTAATTCACTTTGACATATAGCATGAAATACGGCCGCGCCTTTAGCTTGCTGTTGGACAAGGTGCACATTAATTCTATGGACTTTCAGTAATTGCAGAAAACCAGCAGCTACCTGCCATTAGTGGCCCTGTTGGACTACATTATGTCCAAGGTGTGAATTAATCCAAAGAATGAGTAATAACTGCTGTATAATGTTTAAGTCACACAGAACAATAGCTAATAAGCTCCATCCTGGGTATTTCTCCTCAGGGACCATCTACTACAGAACAAAGTGCTCAAAAACCACCAGTCAGCTTGGCTGCCTCAGAGGCAGAGAGGCTCATGGGGGATGACAGTGCATACAGACGGTGTAATTAAGTCTCCCCAGGCCTCAGGGAGGTTTAGGAGAAGGAGCAGGGATGCCTCCTCCCCCTTAGTGAAGCTGGCTAAATCCTTTACCTGCCAAAGAGGTGTAGATGAGACCCAGTTCCCCTGGGCTGAGACAGCAGCTTGTACAGCAGAGCTGCAGCCTGTCACAGCGGGCTTCCATCTCACTGGCTCACTGCTCCCTCTAGACCAACTCCACTGGGAACAGGCTAAGCTAATAAGGCTCTATGAGAACCTCTGTCCATTAGGATTAAAATACTAAGTGAGGTGCACATGATATCATAGTTAAGGGTCAGAGGAGGTCAATCCTAATGCATGATCAAAATCAATATCTACAATAACAGCTAATGACCCTGCTCTCTGTGGGAGAGCATCCTTTTGCCATGATGACGTGTATTTGCAGTAGCTGCTGTTAGCTGCCATTGAGCAAGTGGAGAACAAAGTTCTCTGATAATGCAGATAATGACCCTAACCTAACATAGAAACTATATTTTTTCTTTGGCAGTTTGCACACAAACCATCTTTGTCAGTGAACAAGAAAGCCTAGCAGCCCTTAAATCATTTCCCATTTCTTCATCCTTGTCAATCTTCTCCAATTACAAATGATTTTACTCGTCATGAAAGACTGCTGCTGACAAACAACTCCACCACAACATACTGTATGGGAGAGGAGAAATTCCCAAATCTCAAGTCTCCCGCTGCACCTCTGAGTCCCAGAGGTCCATGGCTTGTTTTGAGAATGTGCTAACACACTAAAAAAGAAGGTGTCTATTGTGGTCGTAATGAAGACTCCAGGGCCAGGTGGAGCGGGGATGAGGAGGAGAGGAGAATACACCAGCTTCCCTCCCACAAGGGTTCATTTGTCAGTCTTCTTCATCCCTAGAAACAAATAAGCACAATTCCCTCTTGAGTTACTCAAAATAAGGATCCCTGCTGTTTCTCCTCGTTTCAGCAATGTTGTGGTTTCTAACTAGCATGCACTGCTCGGAGTGTTAAGAGTAGAGAATGAGGCCCGTGGGTGTGTGGGTTAGTCAGGGAGGCAAGAGCTACAGGCCGGATTTAAGAGGTGAACAGGATACAGAAGGGCTTTGTGGGGGTCAGCTGAGTGTATGTGTGCACAGGAAAGCCAATTATGAAGGCTGGATGTCAGGGGACCGGCCATGGGGCTTAAGGGGATAACTCATTATCCCGGAGTGAGCCATCTCCTACTGTTCACAGTGTATTAGCTGCATACATCACTCCTGCAGATTTGTATCTCTCTACATGGCTAGAGCTACACTGCCGCATGTAACCATTAGACAGGCTCCAACTTTGATCTGACTGAACTGAATCTAATGTGATTACATTAAAATGAAAACAGTATAGCAAATCTGGATAAAATAAACTCCACCCCTTAAAACTGCAATAAACCATCACATAACTGATCAGTTCATTGGCATGCAGGCCTCTTTCCTGGACAATCTGTCAGTTCACCCTTGTCGTTACTATCCTGCAGCAGACCACAGCTCATTAGGGCCACACAGCTGTATTTATAGTCAGCTTTTTAATGTGTTGCTAATATCTCATTGAGTCTGCATGGCTAACAGTCCTGTGTATGGGTTGCTCAATGGCTCTTCATCAGCATGGTATTTGGATTGGTGCAACCGTGTGAGGCACAAATGGCTCAGATCTTTGAACCAATCTTTGCACTGGGCTAACATCCACCGAGGGAGTGACAGGAGGCCTGTCAAAGTGACATGAACCACATTAGGTAGTTTAATTTGTTGCTAGGTCATTAGTTTAGTACCTAAGGAGATTCATTTAGCACATTATATTTATATAATTTATAAGCTCTGGCAGGTCAGCACCTGTCATCCTAATCTCTCTCTCTCTCTTATGTGATTGTGGGTGGATCCGACAGCCTACACCTGGGCCTGAGATGTCCTGACAAATTGATGGCTATCAGGGCCTCTGCGACATCCCAGGCCTCCATCTTTTGCTGTCAGCCCTTCTGTCCCATTGTCCTCAAAATAACACCTCAACACGGTCTAAACCCTCACTCTTGTTTATGGGATCTCATCCAGGCAGGGGGTCGCAATCACACTAAACCAACAACCTAACACATAGCAGCAACCACAAGACTGACAGCTGATCCACAGCCACTGTGTGTACTTCGCACACTCAGCACTGAGCTGAGGTGAAATGCAGTGAGCTTTGTGCCTGACACAGACCTAGTGAGATAAGGCCAGTGTATGACCAGCTCACAGAGCCTTATTTTCCTGTGGTAAGAGTTTTCAGATTCTCTACTGCAAAAAGTAGCCCATTATAAGTAAACATTCTGAATCAGAAATAATTATCAGCAAAATGTGCTTTAAAGCAATACTATGTAACTTTTAAATCTACATTGTTTCTCATATAAAACTAAAATTAGATTTCCATGCAATAAATGTAATTCAGTAAACCCACCGTTACTTTTTTTACTTTACTTAATTCCTACTTTTTCTAAAATGGTTGGGTACAACCACGTTTCAGTTTTTCCTGCCGAGAACAAAGGTTTGGATGTAAAGGCAACATTCCATAACAGTAGGTGGCGGTAGTGAGTCGCATAATAGTTTGCCAAACTAAGTATGTAAATTAATGTCATTATTTATTTATTTATTCAGTGGAGGCATACGTAATAATAAGTTACAATAACTACCTCAAAGTCCAGGATGACCGGGTTTGTTTTTGTCATAATGCTACCACAAAAGTAACTGCAGTTGTTGCCAGACCTATCCAGTAGCTTTTATTCATCAGCACCTGTGATCAACAACATAAGAAGTGGCTTGTTAGCTCATCCATATGTAACCAAAAATTGAGACTACCAGACCTTAGACAACATTCGCAGCTTAGCTGTGTGTTGACGACACACACTACCATCCAGAGGATAGGGGTCATCTCCATTTTTCCAGTTATTAATGTAAATCATCAGATGAACACACTTCTGGCATTCTTTACAACAAAAATCAAATACTGGTCGGATAGATAGCACTGCTGCAGACATTTCCACTAATGTGTTGCACATGTAGGTTGCTTTACTTTCACTTGTCCTCTGGAAAGTCCGGACCCTTTTTTCATTTCATCTTTTGAAGCTGAGCATCTTGTTCTTTTCTTACACTCAACCTGGAGGTGCTATACGATGAAACCCTGAAAAGGTCTGTCTTCGTTTGTTAATCTCCTTTTTCCAAATATTTCTTAGAGGGTGTAGTAACACAGTCCTGCCTTCGTACAGATTTGTTGTTGCTAGTCCTCAACAAAAGTTGGGACACCTGTAGGAATTGTTTGCATCAGTGTTCAAGGCTTCATTTACTTCCACTGCTGCAGAAAAGATGGACATTGATCCCTGAAAAGGAACTGTTCTCTATGACATTTACAACCATTTTTAGTTTTTGGTGACTTGTTAATGGTCATTTACTGGACTTAAACTGCTTGAATGTCAATAAAAATTGGAAACATTTAGGTGACCCCCAAACATTTATGAGGGCAGTGTACATTACTACCAGATGTTGTATCAACAGAGATAAGCTCCATACTAGTGGCCACCAAATTGGATTTTCCACTGTTTGTCAACACATAATGTGGATTGTAACTTTAGTGGAACATGTTCACATGTTGAGTAACTCATTAACTGCCTGTAGCTTGTCACTCAGTCGGTGTAAAGCTGCCTCCTAGAGACTACATTTTAGCGCACAACTGCTGTGGGCTCAGATCTTTTCAGTCACTGTAATAAGGCTAGCTGTATACTGACTTCATA